CATTCAGGTCAATTAGGTCAAATTATAAAATAATTGAATCTTTATAAACCACTTTAATTGAGTATCCTTTACCATTCGCACAGCTTCATATATTTCATCTGGATAAATTCAATATGCATATAGATTTTTCAATATCACTACCGAGTTGTGACAACGAAATATCTGGCTATGGGGGAGTACTACCGTTCGATTCCCAGCAACGGAATTCATGTGGAAAATATAACAAGCAGACCAAGCGACAGTTCCATTATACGCACACGTGGTTCATTGAGTAAACTTAAAGATCATTATTATTATTATTATTATTATTCCATTTCTTCACCACTTTATGGGGTATGTACTTCCATGTACCCGAGACAGACCTTGTCCCTAAGGTACATAGGGCAACAGCTATTTCCGGGATACATATTGTTTTTAATATGTATTACATGTATTATATAATTTTATTTTATGACAGCGTCTTTCGGATTATGTTTGAAGTTCCCAAAATGGCGGTCTTCTGCAGTTCACTGATGTCGTGTTCGCCCGGGATGTTGGCCAAATATTTCCTGAGTGACCTGGAGATAGTTCCTGTTGCTCCTATAACTACTGGGATTACTTTTTCTTGCATTATTATTATTATTATTATTTCTCTTGTTGCTGTCGTCATTTTTTGGCTCTTAATCTATCTTAACAAACCTCTAGTCAAAAATTTGTCAATAAAACAGTATTCATTTATAAGACAGAGCTATTTTTGACACTATATATTTAGCTAAACAGACTATACACATTTTCTCTAATTTTAACAAGTACACTCCGCCCTTAGCTGTGAATAATCGGTAACGCGAGCCAATGGGGATTCTGGGGGTACGCAGTTTGATTCCGAAGGGAACCTGTTGTGACTGGTTTTCCGTAGCTTCTCTTAATTCGTCATGGTGCATTCCGGGACTTGTACAACCAAGTCCTTGGAGCAGAATCCCTATTAGAAATCTCATAGTTGCTGTGCAAGTAAACAAGTTATCCGCATTTTATGAAAATTGAAGGTTTACAGCAGCCCTTCACTGATCCCTATTCAGAGCCACATGAATTCAGTCTCACCATTCCACTCTCTTTCTTTGATACCTAATTTAATATCATCCTCTCATACACAGCAGAAGGGGCAATCCAGTACTTGTAATAATTAACTAACCAAATCCATGACGCACACAATAAATCACTTGGACAAGAAATATCCATCCTTTAACGTAACTACGAAGCCCGCCTTCCTAGGCCCTGTGCAACGTTTCGTACAAGCTGTGTGCTACTTGTAACAAGCAACTAGACAACAGATACATTATGTATTTCAAATACTTAATTCTCGGCTCTCAGCGACAGCAAATTTAATTTGAAATATATTGGATTACAATAGTCTTTCACGACTTTCTTACATGTAATACCTTGTTTTATATTTTCTTTTTAATTCTTTCTAAACTTATATTTTACATTGCAACTTATCATTTATCTGTGATTCATTAATATCTAACTTACTTTTCGGATATTCTATTTGTACAAACCGACTGAAAGGCAGAAGGCTGAGACTAGTGCATCTCAACACATGCTTATTTCTGGTGGCTCTTCATAGTATCCCATTGCAACACAGCAATAGCAGCTTTAATTTTAACCTTTAAACACACGATTTCCATGCGAGGGGAGACACAAGTCCCAGTCTCATTATGGAATTCAGGTTAATGCTCTACAGGGAATTCATAAAAGTCCCTTCTTAGTACTATTTATAATTAGAAACCCACAGTCTGTGTATTTTGAACTTGTTTCTATTTGTACAAACCTGAGTCCACAATTCCTGTTTATCCTAATTGCATTAATGTAACTATATATGATCACACTGACCACTATACTTGTTAGATCGTTCGTTTATTTGGGTAGCGAGTTCGAATCGCGGTAAGAACATAGATGTATGCATGTCGGCGTTTGTGTTATTTTATAATGCGTGCGAGTATAATCCTCGCAAAGGGCTCATCACCTGTCCAAGAAGTCCCAAGTCCTGACAGATATGTAAAGGATTATAAACGAGTCTGCTGTGGCCGATTGTATGGAGTACCACGAAGTCACTAAAGTAAAGTAGAATATTTTTCTTTCAAAGTGTTAGGCGGGCTAACACGGTTAAATTTAGAATTTTATCACGAATAATGAAGTAGTAACAAGAGACCTTTTCTCTAGTACTATGGTACAAACGGTTCTTTGCCACAGGCTGATCACTTACACTGTTTCTAAGTGCCTCATCTGTGCTAAGGATTGCGGGAAGCGACATTGAACGAGTTACCCCACTTTGTGGCGTTCTGACTCTCATTGGGATAACCTACGCTCGCGTCAACACGACGTCACAATGGTGACGGTCGTATCAGCACATTCAGAGGCTCGCAAACTCCTTTCTGGTATTCATTCCAACACAGGGTTGCCAGGCTTCCGTTTTTAAAAAAATATTACCTTTTCGGAAAATGCGCTAATTAAAATCTGGTCTTAAAAGAATGTGATTTAATTTTGACATTTATACACGACCCTCAGCCACTATAGTCCTATTAATTACACTATCTCAATTATTTATTCATCTCGTCCAAGTTACCGTTTTGTAATATTTTTTTCGCTAAAATAAAATTTATTTTTGTTATCATGCAAAGCCTGGCGCTGTATAATTAATGAGTTCCTGTTTATATAATGCTCCCAACTTCTCATTTGCTTTTCATTTGTTGGCTGCAAAAATAATACGTAGACCACTAGTTTTTATTTGAAAAAATAAGAGCCCAAAAGAGAATTATGAAGAGGAGCTGTGCTGGACGAAGGCCCATAATACACATCAAGGATATAAGAAATAAATACAAAAGTTTGGTAGCATTATCTTAAGGGATAAGATGACTTCAGAAAGCTAACAGCAGACGGGAAGATGTCGGACTCTGCAACGCAGATGTTTGGATGACCTGGACTGAATTGGTATTGTTCAATATTGTGGTTTTGTTAAAACGATAATGAACTTTTAGGTTTCTTAAACTGACTGAATTTCCTGATGGGAAGATAGATTCTCAGTTGCTCAGGAAGACTACGCACTATTAGTAATCAGATTTTATGAATATTATTTTAGAAGTTAACCATCCAGGATCACAACAACAGGAGGGAGAGGACAATGGGACAAGCCAATAAAATAACAGGAGATGAAGATTTCTTTCCGTCTTCTGGGTTGTTGCGCTGTGTAGTCTGGTCGATGTTAACCAACGTTTCAGAGGTCATACTGCCTCCGTCATCAGGGCGATGAGTATGAAGATTTCTGTCTTCTGGGTTGTTGCGCTGTGTAGTCTGGTCGATGTTAACCAACGTTGCAGAGGTCATACTGCCTCC